TTCAGTCTCCCATCCTCCCACCTGCTCTGTAAGTTGAGAAAACAATTCAAACTAGCGGCACCAGGGGGTGCTCTCAGGCCAAGATGAAATCAAGAAACCACGGTAAACCTAAATTCCAATGTCACATCGTTTTTCCATTGCTCAAGAACCTGCAGTGGCTCCCCATTGCTCACCCTATCTCAAGCTGTTCCCTTATAACCTAAGCCCATCTCATCTGCCCAAGCTCCCACGTGCATGCACCCTCTATCGTGCTGAATTTCTACTTAGCCATGTAACTCATAAGGGTGATGCCAAGGGGTAATGGTGTAGCTAGAGCTAGCCCCCTCTCCACTTAGGTAGATCTGGCTGCGTCAACCACCCACATCCCTCTGGTGGTTGGGGAGCCCGGGGTTGGATGAAAATCATGGTGCGCTTTGCCAGTGGCCACAAGTGAGATTCAGTGCCCAGAGCTTCTAGGGGACTCAGCTCACCATGCACTGCCCTGTGTGTGGCAGTGAAACCCAGGCCCTGACAGGCGCCACGTAAAAATAAATACATAAATAAAGCTATCCTCAATGCGCTCCAAGTAAATGGATACTGGAAATGAAAGTAGTGGACTAGGCCAGGTGAGGTGGCTCACGCCTGTAATCCCACCAATTTGGGAGGCTGAGCCTGGCGGATCACTTGAGGCCAGGAGTTCAAGACCAGCCCGGCTAACATGGTGAAACCCCATCTCTACTAAAAATACAAAAATTAACCAAGCGTGGTGGTGTGCCTGTAATCCCAGCTACTCGGGAGGCTGAGACAGAAGAATCGCTTGAACCCAGGAGGCAGGGGTTACAGTGAGCTGAGGTCGAGCCACTGCACTAAAGCCTGGGCGACTGAGGAAGACTGTCTCAAAAAAAAAAAAAAAAAGTAGTGGGATTGCTATGTGAATATAATCTCAAGACAAGTCACCTAGCCTCCCCACCAACTCCATCTTCTAGCCGGATGGCTACTCTGACACTTTCTGATAGGGAAATTCTGTAGTTGTCCATATAGGTGCCCCTTTCACGGGTCCCATCTCTCTCTTTTTGCTTGTGTCATTTCCCCTACCTCAAAAGATCATTCCTCGATCCTCCCTATCTAAACCTGACCTTTCATTGAAGGCTTCATATTTCCGGACTTTCCTAGCCAGCACAGTCCACACTGACACCCCCGTTTCTGAATCCCAGTCGCACTTCCTGTCTTTACCACACAACTGAGCTCTTGATTCAGCTGTAATTATGACACATACAGTGTGCAGGTTTTGGAGTTAGATAAAACTTGGTTCAAATTTTAGTTCCTTGGAGTGAAGACAAAATTCTGGAACTTGATAATGGTGATAATTGCACAGCATTGTGAATGTGCTTAATACCACGGAATGCTGACGTTTAAATTGGCTAAAATTCTGTTATGTGCATTTTACCACAATTATTTATTTGTTTATTTTTGGAGATGAGGGTCTCCATATGTTGTGCAGGCTGGCCTTGAACTACTGGGCTCAAGCAATCCTCCTACCTCAGCCTCTCGAGTAGCTGAGACCACAGGTACACACCACAGTGTCAGCTGCTAACACAATTTTTTTTTTTTTAAGACAGAATCTCACTCTGTCGCCCAGGCTGGAGTGCAGTGGCGTGATCTCGGCTCACTACAACTGCCGCCTCCTGGGTTCAAGCAATACTCCTGCCTCAGCCTCCCCACTAGCTGGGGCTACAGGTGCGCGCCACCACACCCAGCTAATTTTTGTATTTTTAGTAGAGATGGGGTTTCACCATGTTGGCCAGGATGGTCTCGATCTCTAGACCTTGTGATCCGCCTGCCTTGGCCTCCCAGAGTGCTGGGATTACAGGCGTGAGCCATCACGCCCGGCCTCTTTCCTCCCCTCTCTACTCCCGGCTCCAATATCAGTCCTGGCAGCAGCAGTGAGGGTCCGAGGCCTCGCCGGGGGTGGGATGGAACCCACCTTCTCCAAGGCTCCCCCTGGGTTGCTGGCAGCCCCGTGTGGCAGGGAAGAGGAACTGCCGGAGCGTCCTTCAGGGAGGAGAGGGGCCAAAAGACAGCAACATGGCGCCCCCAGGTTTCCCACAGGCCCCCTCCTGTAGACCAGCTGGCCCTTCCCTCAGTGACGACTCAAAGTCTAATTTGAAGAGCTCTCTGGGGACATTCCTCTCCCTGGGTGGCGGTATTTTGGGGAGCGGATGTGAACTTCCCTGAAGGGGAGAGGTGTAAACTCCCAGCATCCTGCTACCACCCCCGCCCCCATCACCCTTCATTTCCCCAAGTGCAGGCTGGGGACAGAGGAGAGGGAAGGGGATTAGGTGCTCGGGCCGGGGAACCGAGACCCAGGGTGTCACCGCTGACAGCAGCGGGCACGCAGAGCTGCAGGGAGACCGAGCCGCGGCCCCGCGGAGCCGACGCTGCCATCTGGCTAGAAGGCCCCACTCTTTCTTTAACCAGAGGTCACAGTCTCACTGCCTACCCAGGAGGCAGCCCCGAGACGCCCCCTACGGCCTGGGTTTTCTCCACCCTGTCCCCGCGCCCACCCCAGCTCTGCCTTCCCCGGCTGTACCGCTTTGTAAAGAGGACGGCTGGTCAGACTGAATCACTGCGCTGGCCCGCGCTGGGTCGAGCCTGGGGACCGGATCCGGGACTTCCGGAGAGCCCCAGGGTCCCCGCGCGCCCATCCACCCGCGGTCGCCTGAGCATTTATGGTAATGTTTGGGTTGGGGCGAGCGGCCGGATCCCCGCCCCCTGCCTCCGCCGGGCGGGACCTCGAGGCCGGCTCCTGGGGAGCTTAGCGCTGGCGCCTTCCCGCCGCGGCCGGGTCCCCTGGGTGGAGACCCTGGGTGCCGGAGGCCTGAGGTTCGGCAGGTGGGCTGGCCCCCGTGCGGAGGCTCCTAAGTACCAGAAGGACAGTCCCCAGTTGGTCCGAGGAGGGGTCCGCGGGATTGGGGGCTCCAATGGGAGGGCTATAATCCCCATCAACCTACCCTAACCACCCACTGCTGCCCACCCAATCCCTGCCTCTGGTTTAAGAGTCCATCATCCCCAGGAAGAGTCCTGATGCATCCACATCCTTTCTCCTTCTCTCCCCCCACTCCCTGGCAGGGAAGGGGCGGAGGGAAGAGGCCAGCAGCTCTCAGGGGAGTCGTCGGAATGCTGGGAGCCTGGGAACAGACCCTGCGGTCCCTGGGAAAGCCAGGCTGTGGGAATCCCACCGTCAGCCCCCTCCCCATGATGGGCCACCGGATGTCAGAGACCCCAGTTCCCCAACAGGGATCTTTGTGAGGGTGGGCCCCGCCCCCCCAGTTCAAGCCCCAGCCTGGCTCGACCCCAGAGTTCAGTAGGCCAGCTGTGACGAAGACAGCCCCTCCCCCGCTCTCCGCCCTCTACCCCCCTGCCTGCTACAACATAATCCTCGCCATTGTGCCCGTTGCCCCCTCCCTCTGCTCCCCCTCTCTAGACCCCTGTACAATGGGGCCTTTGCAGCCTCCAGAATGGAGATGAACTCACGGTTTTTCCAAGTTTAAAAATAGTCCCCCCATCCCCCAGAAGGCCATCCTCCCTCTCTCCCAAGGTGTTGTGGGGTACACCTCCATCCCGGCTGTGCCTCCTTCCTCCTGCCCTGGGTCAGGTGCGAAGGACATGGGTGAGACAGCGTCCGGCGGGAGCAGGGCTGCTTCCCCCGATTCAGTCTCTTCCCCCACATCTCCCACAGGCCCCCCAGTACAGTATCCGGTTTCCTGCCCCCCCCCCCTTTTCTACCCTGTTTTCACTCCTTCAGTACAATCCTCTCCTACTCACACCCACATTCTGGAAAAATTCTCCACCTTCCCCCCCCTCCAAAGACCCAGACCGGATCCTATTATCTGGCCTGGCCAGGAGGTTCCCCAGTCTCCATAACTGCCAAGATTGTTGGGACTCCCCCACCCCATGTTCTCATAGCAGCTGCAAACACCTCTTTATCAGCTTCCTTCCTCAGCCCAGCCCACCCTTCTCACATCCTCACATCCTGGTCAAGGCCCCTGGATCCAGAAGGATGGGTTGGAAGTCATTAAGTTCCCTATGCTGGAGCTGAGAGAGGACACTTGGGTTCCAGTCTTGTCCCTTCCCGGCCTCTGGGGACAGGTCCATCCTTGTCTTTTTACCTCCAACTCCCCAGGGCTCTACTTCTCCTTACAATGAGCTGAAAGCTCCACCCACCCAGGAGAATGTGGCTGAGGAGCCCAACCAGGACCCCCACCCCCCACCCCACCTGGCCTCAATTTCTCCACCTGTGATCAGACCTATACCAGAGACATGCAGAGGACATTATGCGCAGGAGGGTCCCTCACGTCTGAGGGGCCCAGGTCCACCATGGGGCTGGAGGAAAGCAGCCTTCTTGCCTGCAACCCAAGGAGGGAAAAAAGAGTAAGAATTAGGACTCTGCCCCCAGGGCCTCTTCTGGCCCTGGCCTACATCTGAGCCAGGCTCTTCCAACCCAGTCCATGTGCTGGGGCCCTGCAGGGTGGAAGGCCATGGCCTCCTCCTCCAACTCCCTTCTGCTGGCTGTCAATCCTGTCCTGCTGGAAGTCCAGCAGCCACCTTCTCTCTCTTGCTGCTGCTGGAGTGCTAGCCTCCGGCCTCTAAGGGGAGCTGAGGGCTGATCCCCTTCACCTTCCGCTCCCCCCACCCTGCTCCCTGCCTCCATTCCTGAGTCCTCTCCGAGGTCCTGACCCCTCTTTAGTTTGGAATCCCAAAGTGCCCACCTCATGAAACCATCCCGAAGCTGTCTGTCCCCTGAGGCTATGACCCACTCCTGAGCAGCCTAGACAGCCCCAGGCTACTGGCTTCCTTAAAGGACAGTCTTCTGTGCCTGTTTGGTGGGGCCATGCAGGGGAAGGGACGTCACCCTGGGCTCTAGGCTCTAACCTCATTTCCCTTTCACTGCAGAGAAAACTCCTCCACCCCCACCTGGCTTCACTCTCCTCCAGCGGAAGAAGAATTCAGAACTGACTGTCCTTGGTGGTTAGCTGGCTTTGTTTTCAGGCCAGAGAGGCGAATGATTAGTTAATGGTGTTAAGTGAAGGAAGGGGGTTGGGCAGGGAGGCCAGCTCCATGCCCAGCCGGGCCTGCCAGGGCAAATGGCATCCTTCAACCATTCCCACTCCAGCCCAGCAGACAAAATATTCTCATCTATTCAGCTCTGGGCCTGGGGCCAGTCCATAAATTCACTCCGGAGGGGGTGCCAGGGTCCTCCTCTTGTTCTCCCGGCAGGCTCCAAGCTCCAGGCTCCAGGCCCCTGGCCTGGCGGGCCTGGGTTCTGCACGGCCTCTGGCTGGAGACTAATGGCCATGGAGGAGGGGTCGGCAAAGCTCTGAAAGACAAGGCTGGTGTGGTTTGCCAGTCATCTCTGCGTCATCAAAACGCCACCCCGAGCATGCTCTCAAGTCACCTGGCCATCTCTGGGGTTTGCCGGCTCACCCTCCACCTCCCCCAGCCAGCAGAGGGGTGGCCCCGCTGGGCAACACACCTCTACCCAAATCCAGGCCCCTATTTGGCACTCCCTGGTGAAGGCGCACCAGGAGATGTGGACCCCTTTTCTGAGGCCAGGCTGCTGGGGTCACAGTGAGGCAAGAGCCCCTCCCCCTCCCTAGAGCCTTAGTTCAAGAGGCCAGAAGACCCAGGGAGAAGTCTTTTTGGGAGAAGGGTAGCTGCAGAGCTCCCCACCCAAGCAGGGCTGATTTGATTCTTCCCTCAGCTATGGACCCACCACCAACAGGGCTGGGGAAGACGGCGTGGGGGTCATTGCTGCAGGGATCCTTTCAATGATCAGGAACAGCAACAGGTTTGCAGGGTCAGGCTGGGGACCCCTCGCCCATTAACTCTTCTCCCTGTTTCTTTCTCTTAGGTGAGGGGAAACTGAGTCCCAGGGTAGGCTCCAGAGTGAAGAGGGAAGAAACATGATTCTCAAGGCCCAGGTCTGGACAAGTGTGAACACCTTGGGCCTGCGAATTCAGCCCCCTCCTTCCTTTCTCTGGTCAAAGGCTAGACTTGCAGCAGCTTGGGTTTGAAGGGACAGCCCAGAAGGCACCCTCTCCACTCCCCATACAGGTACCTCTGGTCTGTGGGACTGGCACAGGGTTCTTCTCCCAAAGCTGCCAGCACTGTGAGGCTGAGGCAGTGCCAGGCCGGCGGCAGCGACAGTGGTGCAATCGTTCTGGGAAGCGATCGAGGCCGGCCTGAATTCTCTGTGGCAGGGGAGGGGAGCCAATTGGGAGGCCCCTTGGGGACACTGAGGACCAGGTCCGCTACTGCTCCTCCCCCAGGAGGTCCCCCAGAGGCTACATTGGCTGGCAGGGGCTCAACAGGGGTGAACCTGGCTGGCTTCGACCCGGGGCGACTCCGGGCATCCGGGACAGCTTCTCCTCGCTGCCACCTCGGTCAGTCAGACCCCTAGACACCTGTCACTACCCCCTCAGCCTTCCCAAGCCAGGAGCCTGGGAGTCCGGCTCCGGCCTACCTCCGGCTGCGCTCCTGGGCGCAGCTCCCGGGCTGGCGGCGCCGGGGCCCGCCCCCTAGGGCTGCGGCGCGCGGGGCGGGGGCTGGGGGCTGCGCGGGGCGGGGCGGGCCCGGGCGCTCCGGGCCCCCTCCCCCGCCCCCCTGACGTCAGCCCCCGGCAGCCTTGAGCTGCTCACTTGGCTCTCGCCCTCCGGCGGGGAAGCATGGGGCTTCCCAGGCTGGTCTGCGCCTTCTTGCTAGCCGCCTGCTGCTGCTGTCCTCGCGTCGCGGGTGAGTGAGTTCGTAGGGGGGCCGCGCCCCGGCTAGGGGTCTACGGTGGAGCGTGCCAGCGAGCAGAGCCAGCGGCGCGGCAGGGTCAGGGCGTTGCGTCCGAGAGGACGCGCCTCCTCCCCGGGTCCCCGACCGCCGGGCGCCTTGCTCACGAGCAACTCTTCTTTGCAGCCAGTTTGCAGCGGGGATTCTAGAGTATCCCGGGAGCAGCACTGGGAAGGCGGGGAGGAGGCTGCTTCTGGGAGCGAGAAGGGGTGGAGCCCAGCCTTTCGGGGTGCTGGGGGGAGTCGTCCCTGAGGTGCTCACTCTGGAGGCCCGCAACTGAAGCCGGGCAGGAGGCGCAGCTGGGGCGCATCCTCAAAGCCTGAATTCCGCGCCCGCCTGTTGCTGGAAAAGGCAGCTTCCTTCGCTGGAGGGGGTGCGCCGGCCCACCCCTTCCCCCTCCCGCCTGGGCATCGCGCCAGGCTGGAGGTGAGCGAGAGCGGGAGGTTCGGCGGCTCCCGCCCGAGCTGGGCGTTGGCATGGGTTGCGGGGCGGTGTGGGTCGCCTCGCGCCTCCCCAAGTGATGGGATCATAGGGGACAGAGATGAGGGATGGAGGATTCCCATACTGGAAGCGCCCGCTGGCTTATTTTGGGGACCACATTCAGGTGGGAAGAGCGCCCGGGCACCTTGGAGCGTTTCTCTGGATCCGCCTGGTAGCCGGGCGCTCTCGGGTCCACGCTGCCCTTGTATGGCCCGCAGCTGTGTCGCGTGTTTCTCTTAGCTCCCGTTCCGCCGTCCCAGCCGCTGTCCGGCTGGGGAAGGGGAGGGCTAGGCAATACCCAGCTCGCTGGCCTCATGCCCAGTGCCAACCATGTCCCTGGGGTATTCCAGGCTACTGCCTCCCAGGCTGACTTTATTTCTGGGGAAAGGGCTAAATCGGGCTCCACAGTTGCAGCCGGTCCAGCTCCACCCTGCCCTGCTCTTCTAGCTCTGGGAGAAGGAGTCAGGGGTCTGAGGCTCCGGGTTGGAGACCCCTCCTTCCACCTGCCCTCCTTGTCCGAGAGCCAAGGCAACAACCCAGGCATCCCAGAGCCCAGGCAGATGGTGTCGAGTGACATCACCTCCTCACAGGGCTGGCAGCACGCTGGCACCACTGACGTCACTCCTGCCCACTGCCTGGCCCTTGCCCTGACCCCTGGAGGAGACTCTGACCTCTCCATCCTTACCGGCTTCCCAGGGTGGGGTCCCGGGTGTGTGCGGAGTTTATGGAGGTGCTGCTGAGGGAGCATGAGACGGGAACTTCCGCCAGAGTTAGCCCGCTGGGTCTTGTGGGGAGTTAGGGCAGGGATTTTGGAGGGCAGAGGGTAGAGTAGTGGTGTCTTCCCCTGGCGGTGGTGACACAAAAGGGCCTGTGTGCCCCAGCCTGGCACATGCCTTGCATTCCCACACTCTGAGCTCACCCGGAGAGGAGGGGGCCTGGAAGGAAAGGGGCCTTCCTCTTGGCTCGGAGCCTGGGTTGCCCCTCTCAGCCCCTCTACCAGCCTCAGCTGGAGCTGCTCGGTGCTCAGTCTCTGCTCAATCTCTGCTCAGCTCCAGGGACCTGGGGTCTCCTGGACGGGGAGAGGGCTGGCCCAGGTGGGGCACGGGTCGGGGGGTCCAGCGTTCAGAGGACAGGGCCCTCTGCAGACGCTCTGAATGGCAGGAAAAACAGCTGCAGCAGCGCTGCGAGGGGAGGGGCGGACAGCCGCTGGAGCTGACACAGCTGCGGGGGGCCCCGCCTCCCTCCCCCAGGTGTGCCCGGAGAGGCTGAGCAGCCTGCGCCTGAGCTGGTGGAGGTGGAAGTGGGCAGCACAGCCCTTCTGAAGTGCGGCCTCTCCCAGTCCCAAGGCAACCTCAGCCATGTCGACTGGTTTTCTGTGAGTGCTTGGGCTCCTGCAAAGCGCAGCCCGGGGTGGGAGGCTCTGCCCCTCTTGTAGCCCAGGACCCTCTCCTCCTCTGTATCCCCTCCCATTAGGTCCACAAGGAGAAGCGGATACCCATCTTCCGTGTGCGCCAGGGCCAGGGCCAGAGTGAACCTGGGGAGTACCAGCACCGGCTCAGCCTCCAGGACAGAGGGGCTACTCTGGCCCTGACTCAAGTCACCCCCCACGACGAGCGCATCTTCTTGTGCCAGGGCAAGCGCCCTCGGTCCCAGGAGCACCGCATCCAACTCCGCGTCTACAGTGCGTGACCCCATGTCTGCCAGCTGGGCAGTGAGGGTGGTGGGGCGTGGTCCCATGTCCCCCTCATTTCTATTTTCTTGTAGAAGCTCCAGAGGAGCCAAACATCCAGGTCAACGCCCTGGGCATCCCTGTGGACAGTAAGGAGCCTGAGGAGGTGAGATGTGTGGCAGATGGGCTGGGCAGCTGGTGCGCAGCAGCTGAGATGGGGCTTGCAGAGGGCTGGGAGGCAGGGAGACTTACACCTTGTGCTCCTTAGGTCGCAACCTGTGTAGGGAGGAATGGGTACCCCATTCCTCAAGTCATCTGGTACAAGAATGGCCGGCCTCTGAAGGAGGAGAAGAACCGTGAGTAGCCCTTTCTGCTCCCAAAAGCCACCCTTGGGCCAGGTGTGGTGGCTCACACCTGTAATCTCAGTGCTGTGGGAGGCCAAGGCAGGAGGATCTCTGGAGGCCAAGAGTTCAAGACCACCTTGGACAACATAGGATGACCCCGTCTCTACAGAAAATAAAAAAATTAGCCGGACATGGTGGTGTGTGCCTGTGGTCCCAGCTACTTGGGAGGCTGAGGTAGGAGGATCATATGAGCCCAGGAAATGGAGGCTGCAGTGAGCTAGGATTGTGCCACCTCACTCCAGCCTGGGTGACAGAGCGAGACCCCATCTCTTAAAAAGAGCTGTGCCTATGGTACTACACAGGAACTTGCCTTATGTTTTCTTTAAGCTTTTTAACTAAAAAAAATATATACAAATGGTGCTTGAAAATATTTTCATGAGAATTTAAACTGACAAAAAATCTAGAAGTTTCTTCTTGCCTGAGACCCCCTCCCAGAAATAATATCTGTTATCAATCAGGGTGTGTTCTTTCAAGCCTATTTCTATGTATTTGCTCATATATAGAAACATTTCTAGAACGATATAGGCTTTTGTTTTTTGTTATCTAAATCAGTCATTCTTAACCAGGGGTGATTTTGTACCCCCTCCTCCTAGGAGATATTTGGCAATGTCTGGAGATATTTTTAGTTGTCACACTTAGAGGGGGTGCTACTGCCATCTAGTAGGTAGAGAGGCCAAGGATGTCGCTAACATCCTACAGTGCACAGGACAGCCCCTACAATAAAGAATCAATGTGGCCTAAAACATCAGTAGTGCTGGCTGGGCTCACGCCTATAACCCCAGCACTTTGGGAGGCCGAGATGGGCGGATCACCTGAGGTCAGGAGTTCAAGACCAGCCTGACCAACATGGAGAAACCCCATCTCTACTGAAAATACAAAATTAGCCGGGTGTGGTGGCGCATGCCTGTAATCCCAGCTACTCAGGAGGCTGAGGCAGGAGAATCACTTGAACTCAGGAGGTAGGTGGAGGTTGCGGTGAGCCGAGATTGCACCATTGCACTCCAGCCTGGGCAACAAGAGCGAAACTCCCTCTCAAAACAAAAAAGAAAAAAAAAATATCAGTAGTGCTGAGAAAGCCTGATCTAAGTGGTGTTGTATGGTGTACATTGTTAGACAATTTCTTTTGTACGATCTTTCTGGGTCAGTCTATTTAGATCAGCTGATGGTTTTGCTTATTGCCGAGTTTTCCATACTATGCATATCATGTAGTCGAGTTCACCATTCCCCAGTTAGTGGACATCTAGACAGCTGCTCGTTTTTATCATTGCAGCATTCTTTGCACACATCCTTGGATATGAGCATGAGCAGACCTGTAAATGTTTTTCTAGGGTTGACCCTGAGCAGTAAAAGTGCTGGGTTTGAAGGGTTTCCAGCTTGCATTTGTACCTGGCCCTCTACAGGGGACACGGGACTCTTTAGATGGACACCTACGAACCCTGGTGGACAACCCTAGGGTGGGGTTGGAGGTGGGACTGAGGCTGAGTCTTCCTCCCCTTCCTCCCTGCCCAGGGGTCCACATTCAGTCGTCCCAGACTGTGGAGTCGAGTGGTTTGTACACCTTGAAGAGTATTCTGAAGGCTCAGCTGGTTAAAGAAGACAAAGATGCCCAGTTTTACTGTGAGCTCAACTATCGGCTGCCCAGTGGGAACCACATGAAGGAGTCCAGGGAAGTGACTGTCCCTGTTTTCTGTGAGTGCTAACTTGACTCTCTGCTCACTGGGGCTGGGGCTGCTGGAAACTCCTGCTAGCCCCTCCCTATCCAGCCCAGGGTTGACTCATGGGCCAAGAGCTACCCCCTTTGCCTATGCAGACCCGACAGAAAAAGTGTGGTTGGAAGTGGAGCCCGTGGGAATGCTGAAGGAAGGGGACCGCGTGGAAATCAGGTGTTTGGCCGATGGCAACCCTCCACCGCACTTCAGCATCAGCAAGCAGGTGTGGGGGCTTTGTGCTGGGTGCAGATGGGGATGCAAGCAGAGACCCGGGTGGAGTGGCGGGAGGAGCACTCTGCTCACCTCCCCAGTCTTCCCCAGAACCCCAGCACCAGGGAGGCAGAAGAAGAGACAACCAATGACAACGGGGTCCTGGTGCTAGAGCCTGCCCAGAAGGAACACAGTGGGCTCTATGAATGTCAGGGCCTGGACTTGGAC